ACTCGATCTCCGCCTCCCTGGCCGCCGCGAAGGGGCGGTCCTCCTCCGAAAGCATGCTCTCGGTGACCCGCCGGCTGGGCGCCCTGCTGCTGGGGACCGGCAGCCTCCTGCGGTCGCGGTGGATCGCGTCGGAGCTCAACCCTGCGGACGGGCCGTCTCGCGGGCGCCCGGCGCCGAGCGATCCGCTTGCCGGCCTGCGGCGCGAGCTCGCAGCCGCCGCCGACGAGGGCCGTGAGGCTGGCGCGCGGCAGGTCCGACAGGTCGACGACCCTCGCGGGGCGCCTGCCGCCGCTGCCCAGCTCGGGGTCGGCCTCCCCCCCGGCCTCGGCCCCCCTGGCATCTGGGGGCCCGCGGGCGGCAGCGGCGCGGGTGCGGGCTGGGCGCGCTGCCGAGCCGGTTGCTGGGCGGGCCCTGGAAGCCCGGACGGGTGTGCTTCGGAGGGCCTCGGTATCGGCGATGACTCAGGCCCAGTGCTCTCTCTACCTGGCCGCCCTGCGCAGGTTCCCCAACTCCCGCGGAGTCCGCCCGATCACCGAGAAGGAGAGGGACCTCTCCACCGCGGGCGGGATGGAGATCATGTTCAGGAGAGGCGGCTCGCTGAGCGCAGGCGAGAAGCTCCTGGCGTCGGTGCGGTGGGCCAGGCCCCGCCTCGGCAGGCGGGGGGACGGGCGGATGCCCATCTGCCGCCACTGCCCGCGGGGCCATTGCCGTGCTGCCCCGGCGGGAGGCCGCCTGCCCCTGCCCCACGACGTGATAGCGCTGCTGGCGAGCTGGATGTGCCGCCAGAGGCTGCGACCCCACGCGCTGGCGGGCCTCAAGATGATGGAGCTGCTCTCGCGCCCGGGGATGCCACTCTTGGTACGGTGCCGCGCCGCGGCGGCCGGAGCCTTCAGCGGAGCCCGCGAGGGGACCCCCACATCGGTGCTGCTCCACCTGATCGGGATGCGGACCCCGCCCCAGAGCTGGGAGTTCGACCAGGCGATCGTCGTCGACCTCCACCGGCAAGCGGAGCTCGCGGACGCCCTGGTGCAGCTGGTGCTGGCGCGCAGCGCGGGACCCTGGCGGGAGCTCTCGCCCTGCGCCCTGCGGCGGGCCCTGGACGGGGCCGCCGCTGCCTGGCGCCTGGGGCCCCTCGGGCTGCCCGACGCCTGCCGCTTCGGGCACACGGGGGCGAGCGCCGCCTCCGCGACCGGCGCCCGGCGGCTGGTCGAGCTCCAGCGCCGCGAGCGGTGGCGGTCGACCCTGAGCCTCCGGCGCTGCTGGCACGGGGGGCGCCTGGCCGACCTCTTGCGCCGCCTGCCGCCCGACGTGCAGCGGGCGGCCGCGGCGACCGCTCAGGCGCTCCCCGACGCGCCGCGGGGGAGGCAGGCGCCACCTTCGGGCCGCTGAGGGCGCCGACCATCGCCGTGTTCCTCGAGCTGTTCGCGGGCTCGGGCCACCTGTCCGACGCCGTGGGACGGGGGAACGTCCCCACCCTGCGCTGGGACATCGTGTACGGCCCCGCCTACGACCTGCGCGACCCCAGGAACGCCCGCCTCATTCGGGGCTGGATTCGGGCGGGGCTCGTCTGCGGCCTGCATGCTGGTTTTCCCTGCGAGACTTTCTCACGGGCACGAGACCGCCCCAACGGCCCGCCCCGCCTCAGGTCGCAGGAGCACATCTGGGGGCTGCCCAGCCTCCCCATCGAGGGCGTCGACTTCCAGAAAGTGAAGTGGGGCAACCTGTACGCGCGGCTCACGATATCGTTCTGCGTGCTGTGCTGCCAGTGTTTCGTCCCGTGGGCCCTGGAGAACCCCGCGCTGAGCTACGCGTGGCAGCTGCCGCCAATGCTCGCCCTGCTCCGACGCCAGCAGGTCTCGTCCCAGGTGATCGAGTACTGCCGTTTCGGAACGCCCTGGAGGAAGAGCACCAAGATCGTGGCATTTCTCCTCGACCTGGCGCCCTTGGCCAAATTCAGATGTGTAGGGCCCGTCTGTGTCATCACAGGACAGAAGCATCAAGAGCTGTCCGGAAAGGGCGCTTCAGGCAGGTTCCGCACAAAGTTGGCGGAAGCATATCCTCGTAAGCTCTGCAATATCCTCGCCAGAGCGTACGCCGATGAAAAGGCCAGGTCCCGAGCTAAGCAGTTCTCCGTTTTGATTGGCCGCGCTGCTCGAGCGCTTGAGGGCCCGTGAATATTCAGGCTTTTCAGTAAATGCATTCTCGGCGTTGCCAGTTCAGCTGTGCAATTTGCAGCATTTTGCATGAGTCCGAAATTTCAGTTGATGTCCGTGGCCGCCCGCGGGTCGGAGATCCCCGGGCGGCAGCCTCTTGCGCCTGCAGCGTCTCGAAGCCTCGCCACCTGGCCCGCCTGAGCTGAGAAAAGGGAGCATAAGTCGTTCTCCGAACAGGGTTGCTCCTTGAGAAGCGTTGCGGGCCGCCCGTCTGCGATCTTCCGTGGACGTTTTCGCTCAAGCTCCCTCCCTCCCCCCCCCGCTTTCCCTTTATCTTTGCATGAGTCCGAAATTTCAGTTGATGTCCGTGGCCGCCCGCGGGTCGGAGATCCCCGGGCGGCAGCCTCTTGCGCCTGCAGCGTCTCGAAGCCTCGCCACCTGGCCCGCCTGAGCTGAGAAAAGGGAGCATCATCCTCCTCCTCTGCACGCTAAGCTTTCAGTCCCAGCACTTGGTTCAGGGACCCGCTTTGCGGGAGCGCCTCACTCGCTCATTCGCTCGCTCCTCCTCCTCCCTCCGATTTTTTTCAGGAACAGCGTCCGGGGGGGGAAGGCTCAGGGTGCAGCCTAGCGACCCCCAGTCGCCCATGCGTCGCCGACAGGGGCCCCATCGCCTGGGCCCGCCCAGCAGCGCGCGGCCTCGCGGTGCAGGGCCTATCGCCGACCTGCCAGCGATGAAGCGTTGATTCTGGCTCGATCGACGCCTCCCCCCCGATTCGTTCTCCTTCCTCTCCTGCTCGAAGAAGATGCGGCCGAACCATCCCCCAGGGCTTCCGGGAGCCTCCGAGAGCCCCAGATGGCCCCCGAGCGCAGGCGAGGGCCCGCCGGAGGCGTCCGAGGCCATTCCCAGGCAGCCCCGGTTCGATGCTCGTTTTGGGGCGGGCCTTCTCAGAAGGCTCGGAAGTCCCCCCTGGCCTTCTGAGAGCCTTCTCCGAAGACACAGAAAACTTCTCAGGAGGCGTAAAGGCTTCTAAGAGGTCCCGCCGCCTTCTGAGAAGGCCTTTTCCTTCTCACTTCCCCCCCTCGCTCGCCGCCGATTCTGGGTCCTGCATGATGGATCTGTTTGACTCAAGTTCGACTCAAGTTCGACTCAACTTCGACTCAGCTTCGACTCCGGTTCGACTAACGTTCGACTCAAGTTCGACTCAGGTTCGATGCGGGTCTACGAACGTTCGACGCAATTTCGACGCACGAGTGGAGCGAGCGGCTCCAAGAAGGTCCCCAGAACGAGCGTCTAACCCCAGGACGTCCAACGTCGAGAGTGCGCAGTGGGGGGATGACCCAGGGGGCGGGGGTGAGGGAGCGAACCCAGCTGGAGGCTGGCATGTCCCTCCTCCGCGGGCCGCCCAGAGCGATGTTCCTCTGAACCCCCGCCTCCTGGCTCCCCTGGGACACGACGCTGCGGAAGAGTCGTGCAGCATCGTGGAGCGTCACGACGGGAGCTCGAGGCCCCATCTTTCTGCTGCATTTTTCGAGCCAGATCGATCTGTGAGGGAGCAGGGAGCAGGGAGGAAGGGAAGGAGGGCGGAGGGCCCCGAGTCGGGGCAGATCGCCCGTCGTGAAGAGTTGCGACGCCGGGATCTCAGTGGCCTGCGCACCTCTGCGTGCGCCCCCCGGCAGGACGGCCCTCCCCCCCCCCCGCGCCCCCCTCGGCGGCACGGGGGAGCTCCCGGGGGCTTCGGGGGCTCGGGGGCGGCCAGGCAGGGGGTAACGATGGGGGGGCTACTATGGCCAGAGCCACGATGCCTGCCATGATTTCTGGGGAACGCTCCTCCTCCTCCTTCCCCTCCTCCTCCCCCTCCTTCTCCTCCTCCTCCTCCTCCTCCTCCTCATCCTCCCTTCCTTTTCCTTATCGATAACTTCTCCCTGTCGCTCGCACCCCGAGGCCAGTTTTTAGGGCGGGCTGGGCGCTTCGCCTGAGACTTCCTCACCACTTATGATTCTGAAGCTTTGAAATTGGCGACAGATTCAAAGATGGAGGGCGGGTCGTTTTCAAAATGAAGCTCTCGCCTTAACGCGGCGCACATTCGTTTTAAACATTTGCCAGATTTTCACGGACTGAGGGCGAGTGGTTTTCAACATGTGGTTCTCGCTTTAGCGTGGCGCACATTCTGTTTAAACAGATGTCACAGTTTCACGGACTAAGGGCGAATCGTTTTCAAAATGTAGTTCTCGCTTTAGCGTGGCGCACATTCGTTCTAAATAGTTGCAAGAGTTTCACGGGCTGAGGGCGGTTCCTTTTCAAAATGTGGCTTCACGGCTTCCCATCATCAACGTACCAGAAATGGTGCTTTTGAAGGATTCAGGATTATGCGGGTGCAGCAGTTACGTTGATTCTCCGAGTTGAAGTCCTAGGAGTGGCGTTCTGGCACGATTCAGGATCGTCAAGACGCAACAGTCAGGTTGATCCGTGGCGTTGGAATCCCGAGAACAATGAATTGGCATGTTCCAGGGTCTTCAAACGGGTGTCTTCCAACGAGGCAGTTCCATCAATGGAAATTAACCGTCATAGGGGACGAATTAAACAGAGGGAGCTTGGAGGGAGAGTTTACTCCAACATCGTTGATGACGCTTGGGTTTACACTGGTCCTCCTCCTCCTCCTCCTCCGCCTCTGCCTCCTCTGCCTCCTCCTCCGCCTCCTCCTCCTCGTCCTGCTGCTTCGCCTCCGCCTCCTCCTCTCCAACACGTTCACTTGGTCCTCCCCTCGTCCGTGCACGTGCCTCGTGGTCCAGAGCTGCAACCCCCCCCCCCGCGTGGACGCCCCCCTTCTCGTGCACCGCCGCGGGGAGGATGCTCGCCGTTGCCCGGCTTCTGGTCTGGGCCGCGGCGCTGCGGCTGCATGTCGGCGTCCTCGGGTACGACAAGGTCCTGCCCCTGCACTCCGTTGGCTCGCCTCCGGACTGCTCTCCCGCCCCTTGCTGAGGGGAGGGAGGAGTGGAGGGAGGAGGGGAAGGGCGGGGGGAGAAATGGAGGAGAGAGGGAGGAGGAAGGGAGGAAGGGAGGGAGGGATGAAGGAATGGGAGGAAGGATGAAGGGGGGAGGATGAGGCGGATGAGGAGGAGGAGGAGGAGGAGGAGGAGGAGGAGGAGGAGGAGGAGGAGGGGGAGGAAGGGGAGGGAGAGGAAAAAGACCAATCGGGCTCGTCGAGCCGGACAACCTAGTGGGCGGGACGGACGGGCGGGCTGGGTTTGGCTGGACATTGAAGTGCGGGGTACGTCGCGTAGGACATCCATGCGTGCGACCCTGGTGTGTGAGGCCTCATGTCATCGCCGCTTCCACTTGCCTTGGCGAACGGGATCAGCGGTTGGTTTACAAGCTCACGCAGTGCGCGGTGTCTGTGTCACGCAGGAAGAGCGCGAGAGTCCCGCGCGGAGCGGGTTCATCAGAATGGCGAGGGGCAGCCCGACGCCGAGCAAGGGCTCTGTTCAACACATGTTTCGGCAGATTGCGGATAGTGCTGTTAGAGAACATGTGGTTAAAGCATTTGATGTCGTCAAATGCGGACGCGCAAAGCAGCTTGCATAGCAGCCGACTGCCTTTGACAGATTTAGCTTGGCATGCGACAGACACCTCCAATGAATCGACATGTGCACGTGTGATCTGCATGGTATGGTTTGAGTTTATGAGACTGCGTCCGCATCCTCGCAACATCAACCCCATCTGCATCCCAACGTGCAATTTGACTGGGGAGGTGCGCAGTGCCACATGCAGCGTGGCCCGCATGGTGCTAGTATTTCCCAAGGGATATGCGCGCGTGTGGCCCGCATGGTATCACTTCTATGACAGCGGTGCCCAGGACCAGCTCTGGACCGCTTCTGGGTGCGATTGCGCGTAATATTGATCAGATGAACGTTGAAAGGGGAGGGAGGGATTGACCCGACAGGATTGGACATAACTACACGAGGGTCATCCTTGGACGGAGCCCTGACGACGTTCGCCCCAGCTACTTTCCGATTTATTGATGAAGTCTGTACCAGATTTTTCGCATGCGCTGGCCCCGCACTGTAGTTCGGAAGATGGACCAGCAGCCTTCCATGATATTGCGGGCCCTCTACGTACGCGCACAATCACGACATGAAGCTGCAGACATACGCCTCCAGCTTCCCTCACGCTGCGAGCGTGTTTCGGCTGATTTGATCCAGTTGCTGTACCTCAGGACACACGGCACAAGCTCTTCGCCTCCTCCAACATGGTCACATTTGCCTCCATTCCAGGGCGCGGTGATCCAAGGTCTGTTTGAAGTTGAAGACGCCTGGGTTCCAATGAATTCTTATCTTTACTGCACGCCCCCCGTTTCTGATCCGAAGGTTATAACTGATGACGTTGGGCTCCATTTGATTCCCGCGCATATTTCAGTTCCAAGAGCAGTTCGGTTCCCAGCGTACCTTTTCCATAGCAGAAGCTGAAGACGATTTGGCTCCAATTTGTTCTCGCACCTGCTGCAATTCCTCAGCCACTGATCCCAAGGTTGTGGCAGATTATGTTGGGCTCCATCATATTTTCGCAGCTGCTTCCTTTCCCTGGCGCTTGATGTAGATGTTGGAATCAAGCTGCTTGTGCTCCACTCTTGATGCGTCGAAGACCTTTAGCTCCAGATCCTTCTCAAATCAACTTTCAATTCCTTTTGTGTTGATCCCAGGGCCGTGGGTGAGGGCATTGGGTTCCCGCTTCTTCTCGCATTTCCTTCAGCTCCCGAGTGTGTCAACCCTTGGGCTGTAGCTGGGGACTTTGGGGTCAAGCTGCTTATTCCGCACTGTGTTTACGACAACTGGCTCCAGCTAGCTTCACGCGATCATCCAGAGAGGCGGTAAACCTAAACCTTCAGTTAGCCTGCTTCGCGCGCAGACTGAGGGGTCCACCACTCCTTTGTGTTGACATTGGCTCTCCTGCGCATTGCCGCTCCCATGTTGACCCAAGGAAACTCGCGTGCTTTGGGCCACGGCGGCGAGCTTACGAGAAGAACGGCTGACGGACGGACGGGGGGGAGGAGGAATGGGAGGGGGAGAGTTTTTCATATAATCTAAGGGGTTCATCATCATCATCATCATCATCATCATCATCATCATCATCATCACCAACATCGTCGTCATCACCATCATCATCACCAGCAGCATCGTGATCATCGTCGTCGTCATCAGCATCATCACGATCATAACACTAAGCAGCATACTCACACTCAGCATCATCACCACCACCAACATCATGATCAGCATCAACGGCATCACCATCAACACCGTCAGCTTCATCAGCATCATAATCACAACCATCAGCAGCACCACCTTCATCATCATCATCATCATCATCATCACCACGACCAGTATCACCATAATCATCACCATCATCATCGTAACCATCGCCATCAGTATCAGTATCATCATCATCAGAAGCATCATCATCACCACTATCGTCATCGTCATCTTTAGCCTCATCATCATCATCATCATCATCATCATCATCATCATCATCATCATTATCTTCATCGTCTTCATCGTCTTTATCGTCAGCATCGTCACCATCGTCATCATCGCCATCATCGTCATCGTCGTCATCGTCGTCATAACCATAGTCGTCCTCAGCATAGTTGTCCTCACCACCGTCGCCATCACCATGATTGTAAGTATCGTCATCACCATCATCATCATCATCATCATCATCAGCATCATCATCATCGTCATCAGCATCATCATCATCGTCATCAACATTATCATTCGCATCATCATTACCACAGCAACCATCATCGCCATCATCGTCGTCCTCATCATTCTCCCCTGTCGTCCTCATCTTCTGCTCTCCACCCTCCCAGTGCTCCTCCTCATCTTCTGGCCCTTGATTATCCCCTGGCTTCTCCGCTGCCTCCTCCTGATCTTCCTGATTGTGTTCTTTCTTAACACCCCCTGCTCTCCTCCACCTCGTCTCGCCTCATCCTTCTCGCCTGCCTCCTCTGCTTTTTTCAGCTGCTGCCCCCTCTTCAGTCAGAAAAGCCATACAGACATAAAGAACCGTCGAGTCCCAGGAAAATTTTGAAAATATGCGAAGTGGAGGGGAGGACGAACATCCAGGAAAGATGGCAAGTATGGGAGCCCTGGTATTTGTGCCTACTTCTCTGTGTAGTATCCCTGGGCCCCTTCCGTCGTCCTCCTCCCCTCCTCCCCCTCCCGTTTCGCCGCCGCGGCCGCCGCGGCGGCTCCCCCCTCCACCCGTCGTGACCCGCCCGAGGACCTCAGGAAGCTCGCGACCGAGTGGTACCTGGGCGGCGCCGTGACCCCCACCGCTGACACGCTAGTCATCAGCCCCGGCATCCCCGGCCGCATAGGCATGATGTGGAGCATGTATCCGATCCTCACGGCCGACTTCGAGGTCCAGATGACCTTCAAGGCCCGCCCGCTTGGGGCAGAGCCCACCGGCTTCGCGTTCTGGTACGTGTACGAGAACGCCACGGCCGCCCAGGCGGAGGTGGTCGATGGGCATGCGCAGAACCAGCAGGAGATTATAGACACCAGCTGGTTCGAGCACGTCCGATCGAAAGGCTTCGGGCTCTTTGGCTATAGGAATGCGTTCGACGGCCTCGGGGTGTTTTTCGACGCAAGCAAGGACAGCCCTCAGCCTTCCGTGACGGCCCTGGCGAGCAGCGGCGAAGCACTGCCCGTCCTGCCAAAGGATTGCCCCTCCTGCTTGAAGTTCGATTGGCGTACGAACAGTGATATCGTAGTGAAAGTTCGGGTTCAGCCTTCTGGTGCAAAGGTCGAGGTCGTTGGTGGGGTCTCGACAGAGGTCACGAAGGAGTTCAAGGCCGTGCCTATGCCTCTCTCGCTCTCCTGCTACACTCCATGAGCAAGACGGGCGCGCGAGGCGACCTCGCCTGTGCGGGGGGGGAGTATGGCCCATCCCAACCCGCGGAAGCCCAGAGGGCGAATCAACACCAACACCACCAACACCACCAACACCACCAACAACAACCACAACAACAACAGCAACAACAACAACAACACCAACACCAACAGCAGCAACAACAGCAACAACACCACCACCACCACCAACAACAATAAAACAACAACAACAACAACAACAACAACAGCAACAACAACAACAATAGCAACAACAGCAACAGCAACAACAACAAAAACAACGACAACGACAACGACAACGACAACGACAACGACAACAACAATAACAACAACAACAACAGCAACAGCAACAGCAACAGCAACAGCAAGAACAACAACAACACAAGCCAGCGGACGAGGGAGCAGCCCAGATGGCCAGCAAAGCCCCTCCCTCTCCCTTCCCCCTCCGCTCCCCTCCCCTCCCGCTTCCCTGCCCCTCCCGCTTCCCTTCCCTGTGCGTCCCCTCCCCTCCCCTCCCCTCCCACTGTCTCTCGACCCCCCCCTCTGGCACCCTGTCCCTGCTTGTCCCTCCCCCTTCCTCCGTCCACTGAACGCCACGGTTTCGAGGCGATCAAGTCTTGAGCCCTTGGCCAGGTTGGACGGCTGGGGCCGCGGTGCTTTTTGGGGGGCCGCCGGGCATGACGGGGCAGAAGTACCGCCGGCACTGCTTTACCAGGGGGCCCCGACCTCCGCGCTGCCTCCTGCCGAGACGGCGACACCTCCCCCTTCGAGTCCCCCGCCTAAGCCCGCCCCCGCCGTCACCCCCGCGTGCAACGCGCCCACCTCTCCGAAGACTGGAGGGGGCAGCCGGGACATCCCCGCCCGATCAGCTGGGCTGAACGGGCTGCGGATGGACGCCACGGGTCGGGTCATGAGGAGGGTGAGGATGAGGGTGAGGGTGAGGATGAGGATGAGGATGATGATGATGATGTTGATGATGATGATGATGATGATGATGATGATGATGATGATGATGCTGATGATGCTGATGCTGCTGATGCTGATGATGATGGTGATGATGATGATGCTGCTGCTGTTGCTGCTGCTGCTGATGATAATGCTGCTGCTGATGATGATGCTGCTGATGATGATGATGTTGCTGCTGATGATGATGATGCTGATGCTGATGATGCTGCTGCTGATGATGATGCTGATGCTGATGATGCTGCTGATGATGATAATGATGATGATGCTGCTTATGATGATGATGATGATGATGATGATGATGATGATGATGATGATGATGATGATGATGATGATGATGATGATGATGTGATGATGATGTGATGATGCGATGATGAATGATGCTGATTGATGATGATGATGCTGCGCTGATGATGATGCTGAAAGCTGGTTCCCCAGATAGCACCGCTGATGATAATGCCTGATGATGAAGGAGATCGATGCTGCTGGCTGCTTGATGCTGAAGCTGAAGCCTGATGGAAAAAAAAAATGCTGATGATAGGAGAGAGATGATGAGGATGAGGATGTGCTATGATTGTCGATTAGGATGCTGCAGAGTGATGATGATGCTGATGCTGCTGATGCTGAATGATGATGGTTAGATGATGATGATGCTGCTGCTGTTAGCTGCTGCTGCTGATGTAATGCGCAGCTGATTAATGATGATTATGCAGCTGCTGATGATGATGTTGCTGCTGATGATAGGATGCCGCTGTTGATGAGCTTGCTGCTGATGAAGATGCTGATGCTGATGATGCTGCTTGATTGATGATAATGATGATAGCTGCTTAAGATGAGGGAGATGATGATGATGATGAAAAGATGATGATGATGAAGATGATATGAAATAATGATGATGATTGATGATGGAGGTGATAGATTGTGCTGCTGCTATTGATAACTGATGATGATGATGCTGAGATGATGATGCTGCTGATGATGATGCTGCTGATGATTGATGCTGTTGCTGATGATGCGCTTTGCTCTGAGAGATTGCTGATGATGATGATCTGATGCTGCTGCTGCTGCTGATGCTGATGCTGATGATTGAGATGAGATGAGGATGAGGATGAGGATGATGCTGATGATGATGATGATGATGATGATGATGATGATGATGATGATGATGATGATGATGATGATGATGATGATGCCGACCCCTGCCTGTACGCTCGGAGCGTAATCTCGGTGTGGATTTTGCCTCGGGCCAAGTCGGTGGCAAGGCCACCACCGCCGATCGCGTCAAGGCGATGCGGCTGCGTAGGAAACGCACGTCTTTTCTGCAGGGTTCTAAGCCTCGTCGCCGCGTGCTTGGGCGCATGGCTCGAAGTGCTCTGGAGACTTCCGTGCTTTATGGTTCTTCTGTTATGGGCACTAACGGACGGGAGTTGGAGGCTCTGCGAGGAGTTGCTGGTAAACTTCAGGACCACCATCAAGATGGCAAGTCCCGCACCCTGGCCCTCTTGTTGGCCCCTGTTCCCTGTCTGGACCCCATATACAGAGCTACTTGGTTGCCTGTTAAATCCTCCTTACTTGCTCTCCAGGACCACTGGTTGCCCTTCCAGGCCCTGGATATCGGCCTTCGTGAGGCCCATGCTCATCTCTCGGGTCTGTCGCACCCTTGGTCCTCCATCAGGGGCCCCTCTGGCGCTCTGTGGGCCTCCCTTAGGCGTGTGGGCATCACCGCGTACTCCGCCGATGCCTGGGTCTGGCCCGACGGTGCCATCGTCAACCCCAACGACTACTGCCCACTCACCGTGCAGGCCCTCCTCTTTCGTGCTGTTGAAGCGTGGCAATGGCGTCGCGTCGCTGATCATCTGGAGGAGCCAGAGTTTGAACGTGGTATTCTGCTGCAGCCCCTCCTGTCACTGCTGAAGTCTAGGCTGCCTGCCGTGCAGAGAGCGCACCTTCGATCCACGACTGAAGCTGCTGCTGCCAATTCCTCGCTCGCGGCACTCTTTGCTGAGCGAGCGCTTGTGCCCATGCCCATCGTGTCGCGGCCGCACCCAGGTGTGGAGGTCACCTGGCTCTGCGGCTCTCCCAGCCTGTTCATTGGCGATGTTTATGTTGACGGCTCTGTCTATGAGGCTAATTTTGCCTCCATTGCATCTGCAGGATGGGGGTGTGTCGCCCTGGACCCCAGCCGCAACGAGGTTGCTGCAAGCCTGTATGGGCCTTTGTTGGACCCACTTCACTGTATCAACGCTGCCGAGCTCATGGCAGTCATCCAGTCTCTCAGGCATGCGGCACCGCCGCTACGTGTGTTCACCGATTCGCATTATGTGTTTGATGGTTTTCATGTGCGCGGGCGGCTCTTCACCACCTCGTACGCTGCCTCACATGCACACCTCTGGCGTGAGCTTTGGAGGCTTGTTGATGATTGGGGAGGCGCGATCGATCTGGTCAAGATCATCGGTCACGCCACCCCTGCTGATGTGCAGCTAGGCCGTATCACGGACAGGCAGCGCTTCGGCAACTTTCAATCAGATGCTGCCGCGCGCGCGGGTGCGAGCGGCGCGCGGCTGGACTCCGTTGCCAGGCACCAGTTGCAGGCGAGGCCTCAAGTCGTGAAGTTGTGGGCGTCGTGGATTGGTCGGGTGGGGGGGTGGTCTTCTTGATTGTGGGCACCCTCCCAAGCATTTAAAAGGCAAGCCTCGCCTGCCGCAGCTTGCCCTCGTTCGTGAGCCAGCTCCCACAAACATCGTCTCCCGTGTTTTCTGTGCGCAGCATGCCTTGGGAGCTGGCGAGCGGCGTCATTCGCTTGTCAAAGTCGTTCTCCACAACGGGCCTGTCGTTGTTGGATGCACTTTCTGTGCCTGTTTCGCTGCTGTTCGTGTTTCTGTGCTTGGCCAGCCTTGTCCACCACATGTGTCGGATCATGGGGGCCACGACACTTCGGCGTCTCGCCCGAGGTGAATTCAGACTCGGCTCCAAGGTGTACCTATTGACTCACAGCAACGGCTGTGAGTCTGGCGTACTGCCGCGTTAATTCGCGGACGTGCAACGCCCCTAAAGTGGCTTCGGTCAGGTGGACTCCGTCTGGCCGCAGATTTTGCCCAGGAGGAGGACGAGGAATGATAGTAATAAGAAGAACCAGAAGAAGAGGAGGAGGAGGACGAAGAGGAGAAGGACGACGAGGAGAAGGATCAAGAGGAGGAGGAGGAGGAGGAGGAGGAGGAGGAGGAGGAGGAGGGGGAAGAGAGGAGTGAGGAGGAGGAGGATGATGATGATGATGATGATGAGGAGGATGAGGAGAGGAGGGAGGGGGGGAGGAGCCACAGAGGAGGATAAGGTGGAGGAGGAGCAGGAAGAGGAGGAAGTGGAGGAGGAGGAGGAACAGGAAGAGGAGGATTACTACTACTACTACTACTACTGCTACTGCTACTGCTAGCTACACTACTACTACTACTACTAACTGCTGCACCTACTACTACTACTGTTACTAATACTACTAACTACGACTACACATGCACTACTACTACTAATACTACTACTCTACTACTACTACTACTACTACTACTAATACTACTACTACTACTGCTACTACTACTACTACTACTACTACTAACTAGCTACTAATTAACTATCACTACACTACACTACTACTACTATACTACGAAAACTACTACTACTACACTACACTAAACTACTACTACTACTACTACTACTACTACTACGACTACGACTACGACAACGACTACGACTACGACACTACTACTACTACTACAACTACAACACAACAAACAACTACTACTACTAACTCACTACTACTAGACTACCGACTTACGAAAACTAACGACTACACTACTACTACTACTACTACTACTACTACTACGACAAACTACTAATACTACTACGACGACTACTACGACTACGATACGACTACGACTACTACTACGACTACGACTACGACTACGACTAACTCACTATACTAACTAACTACGAACTGATACTACTACTACTACTCTACGACTAACGACTTACGACTTACATTACTACGACGACTAAACACTACCACTACTACTCCCTACTACTAATACTACTATACTACTATTACTACTACTACTACTAATTACTACTACTGCTTTACTACTACTACTACTACTACTACTACTATTAATAGTAATAGTAATACAAAGAATACTACTAACACGCAAAAGCAATAATAGTAATACGACGAATCGTAATAATACTCATGCGGCTAACACTAATACGAGTAAGAAGACTCCGAATAATAGTAATAACACGAACACTAAAATTATCCATACTAGTAATGCTACTCGTAATACTACGCATTCTACTCGTGGTAATATAAATGACACTACTACGAATGACACATCATACTCCCTACGAAAAATAGTATGATTGCGACTGATGTCAATACTAATACTAAGATTACTGATAATCATACGGACACTAATACTAATACGAGGAATGCGACTACTACGAATAAAATTAAGAGGACGAGGAGGAGGATGACGAAGAGGAGGAGGAGGAGGAGGAGGAGCAGCAGGATAAGGAGTAGGAGGAGGAGGCATAACCATAGTAAGCAGAACAAAGGAGGAGGACGAGGAGGAGGAGGAGGAGGAGGAGGGCGGAGGAGGAGGAGGAGGAGGAAGCAGGAGAGGATGAGGGGGAGGAGGAGGACGAGGAGAGGAGGAGGAGGAGCAGGAGGAGGAGGAGGAGGAGGAGGACAGAGGAGGGAAGGTAGCAAGATGTGATTGTGATGATGATGATGTTATGATGATGGTGGTGGTGGTGTTGGAGGAGGTGATGATGAATGATGATGATCAATGATGGATGATATGATGGTGTTGTGATGTGATGGGATGGTGATGGTGATGATGATGATGATGAATGATGATGAGATGAGGATGAGGATGAGAAGAGGATTGAGGATGAGGATAGGATGAGGATGAGATCAGAGAGGAGGAGGAGGAAGTAGCAGGAGGGGGAGAGAGGGGATCATGATCCCCACGACGTATGAATGATGATGATGATGATGATGATGATGATGGAATGAATGAATGATGAGATGATGATGAGATGATGATTATGATGATAGATGATAGGTAGAGGATTTTTCGCGGATAGAGGAGGAGGAGGAGGAGAGGAGGAGGGCGGAGGAGCGGAGGAGGGAGAGGAGGAGAGAGGAGAGAGGAGGGAGGAGAGGAGGAGGAGGAGGAAGATGAAGGCGTAGGAGGGGGAGGGGAGGAGGAGGAGGACAAGGAGGAGGAGGAGGTGGAGGAGGAGGCTGAGGAGGAGGAGGCGAAGGCGGAGGCGGAGGCGGAGGCGGAGGAGGAGGAGGCGGAGGAGGAGGAGGATGACGAAGAGGAGGACGAGGAGGAGGCGGATGGGGGAGGCGGAGAAGGAGGAGGAGGAGGAGGAGCAGAAGGATGAGAAGGAGAAGGCCGCAGAAGAGGAGGGTTCTTCACGGCTCGAGCCTGCCTTGCGGGCTCGAGGCTCGCCTCTTGCCGGGGCGGTGTGCATTGGGTCTGCGCTCCCCGCCGCTCTTTCTCGGAGGCCGGGGGCCACATCGGCTTTACCTTCCAGAGCGGCGACCCGTCCGCGGGCTTCCGCCCCGAGCAGCGGTCCACCTTCGTCGAGCTGAAGAGCCTGCAGGTGACGAACTTCGACGCGGCCGCGAGCGGCGAGGATCGTCATGGAGCTCTCCAAGATCCTCCTCCTCCCTCTCCTTCTCCATATCCTTCCTCCTCCATCTCCTTCACCTCCTCCTCCCTCCTCCTCCTCCTCCTCCTCCCTCCTTCCTTCTCCCACCTCTCTCCTCCCTCCTCCCTCCTCTCTTCCCCTCCTCCTCCACCTCCCCCTCCACCTACTCCTCCTCCTCCTTCTCCTCCTCCTCCTCCTCCTCCTGCTCCTCCTCCTCCTCCTCCTCTCTTTTTCGGCCCTCCTCCGTCCTTCCCTTTCTCCCTCCCCTTCTCCTTCTCCTCCTCCTCCTTCTCCTCCTTTTCCTCAGCTTCACTCCCTACGCGTGCCTCCTCCCTGCCTCTCTTCCCCCCCTCTTGGCCGCTCTCCTCCGCCCATCCCTCCTTGCAGGCTGCCGATCAGGCTTCACGCCCCTTTCCGACCGTTCGTCTGTTCACAGGGACCGCCCCAGAGCCCCGCGAGGGTCCGTCAAGGTTTGGTTGTCTTGGGTCCCTCGGGCGTTGCTCGGGCACCCGAATCATTCAATGCTAACAGCTGACGGCCACACACAGGGAGGTAAGGTTCCTCGAGTTTGCCGAGCCATCGCAGACTGCCGAAGCGCCGACCAGACTGGGCTGTGATGCATCGACCCCGGCGCCCAGGATGAGGAGGAGGAGGAGGAGGAGGAGGAGGAGGAGGGCGGAGGAGGAGGAGGAGGAGGAGGAGGAGG